GATCCGAGTACTCAAGGTCAAGGCATTGGAGGCACGGGGCATGACTATGCGCACATGGTGCCATTTGCCGTCGTAATCGGCCGCGTTGAGGACCGGGGGCGTAAGGAGGGGAATATCAGTGCATCCATTGTCGGTCAACGGATTGCAGGATTTGGGTTGCAAAGTACCACTGGCCTGCGCATTCCACTTGAGCTCGATGGTTACGGCATCTGTGGTTGGAGCACTGGCCTCACTCACGTTGAGCAGGATGTCAAACTCCAGCAGAAAAACGGTGTCCTCAGAGTCAAAGCGGATGGGGTGAGTGATGACTTGTTGCATGCCGGCGGCACCGTCAAACACCAAAGCAGCGCGGTCGGCCAGAACACCAGGCGAGGCAGAATCTATTTGAAAGAACACGGTGGCCAGGGTTTCGGCCTCCAAATTTACCAATGCCCTGTGCTTGGGCCATGTCACAAGCTCCGAGGTCATGCGGAAAGCACGCAGCGCCTACGCATTTGATCAACGGCAATGAGGGGTCGGCGTCACTTTTTGGACACATCGTACAGCTTTTACTAAGCTGCACAGATTGACAGATGGCAATGTCCAGCGACGGAGGAGAGGCAGAACAAAAGGACCAACCACTTCGTGGTCGTGAAACGTCAAACCCGAGCCACTGTCTGCTACCAGCAAGGAGATTCGCGCTTGACGGGCAGGGTTGGGCAGGGTGGCCACCAGGGTGCTGATGCTGCTCGCTGCTTCTGTGAGGGAGGATATCAGGTAGTACTTGATGCCATCGGCCGAGTAATAAAGACCGAGCCTATCAGAGCTTTGACGGGCACAGCAATTGTTGGGCTCGGCAGGGCACGCGGCATCGGTGTCTTGGCCGGTGGTAAAGTCAATCTCAACCGTCTCGATGTTGAAGGTGTTCATCCAGGGGAGGTAGAGGTAACGGTCACCGATGCCGGCAAAGACGGCAACTGCGTTTGTGGTGGAACCGTCGCATCGATCCTCAGCTGAATCGGCAAAGTACACGCCCACGCTGCGCAGGGCCGCAAATTTGTGCGCGGTGAGGGGGCCATTGAGATCGATTGTGGAGACGTTGGTCACGCGGCACCCTAGCAGCGCATCGTTGACATAAGGCGCATCACATTCGCAACCAGTCGGGGTACAGCGACCCAGATTACTGCAGCCCATGGGGCAGGTGGCTTCTGTGAAAACGCTGAGATGGGCGATCCGCCAGGGCGCAGCGCCGTCTCGACGCAAGTACAAGCGGCCTTGAGTCCTGCAGCAAAAAGTGGGCAAAGGCAGAGCAACGAGACACAATAATGCTGTGAGTCACTGGCGCCACGGCAGCGGGCGGGGGCGGGGCGGTCGCTTGTGCCAGAGGTTGAAAAGCGCAACACACATGGCTGTGTTCTTCTCGCCGTAGGGGTAGCTGACACGGTGCCAGCGGCCAGCACCAAATACGGCAGGGGCAGGCACAAAATTACCGTTATTGTCGAGTCCATTCAACTACAGCACCGTTGAGAACAAGGAAGGTCAGACAGCAGCCAAGCAAGGAGCAAAAGGATTTGCAAGCGCGGACGGGGAGTGAAGACGCGTTGTGGCCAGCAAAGTTACCTCAACAATGGGCAGCGCTGCCGAAGAGGCGCGTTCAAGCACGACGCGATGACTTTGGGTGGCATTGAAGGAGGCGGGGCTGGGAGCCGCGGCGCAGACATTGGTCAAGTCCGAGGCAGGTTCCATGTAGACTTCGTATTGGATCCAGAAGAGGCTGTTTGAAGCAGTGTCTTTGGGTCGAAGCGGCACTTCGGGGAGAATTTCGATGCGAGAAGCCGTTGCAGGTACGCGCACGCTGTTTGGGCGGCCGCAGTCTGGGGTGGGAGCAGGCGTGAGTGTACCTGTCCCAGTATAGATGCGCAGGTCAGTGATGTTGAAGGTGGCGGGAGTTTGAGGCTGGCAGTAGACGCGAACGTGCTCGCTGTTTCGGCAATTCTCGTTGCCAAAGGCAAGAAAGGCACACGCATCGAGGGTGCTTTCGGTGCCCGAACAGGCAGTCTCCACAAGGTCAAGATTGAAGATGTCCGAGTCGGTGGTGATGCTTGTGGTAAAGGTGGAGGTGGCGGTTGTGGCGTTGGTATATCCGAGGTTGCGGCAGGCCACCACGGCAACATTGTTATTGAAATTGTCGTCACAAACGCCATGCCAAGCCCCAAAGGCATACAGCTCGAGCGTCAGGTCCACTGGAGACTGCCGAACCTGGCCAGCGGCGCAATCGACACGAACGTGGTCGTTGAGGCCGCAGTCTTCATCACCGAGCGCGTTTTGAGAGCAGATGGCCAGGGTGTCCTCGTTGCCGGAGCAGGCGAGGTTGTCAGCGCCAAAGACGCTCGAGTTGCCGGTGATGCCAGTTGTATAGCCGGGGGCGCGGGCGTCAAGGCCAAGAGTGCGGCAAGCCACGGTGGCATCGGCGCGGTCAAAGCTGTCATCACAGACGCCGAGCCAGCGGCCATCATAATTGATTTGGAGGTATTGCCCAGGCAATTGACGATAATCGATGCAGACGGCACGCACGTGCTCGCCCGAGCTGCAGTCATGGTCGGAACGATAAAAGCAATCGGTCAGATCGGTCTCAGTGCCAATGCAGTTGACGTTGTCCATAAAATAGGTCGTGCCACCGACAATGGTGGGGACGTAGCGAACACCGGTGGTGGGGAGGCCGAGCATGCGACAGGCCACGCGAGCCTCTTCGTAATTGAAGTTATCATCGCACACGCCACCCCAAGTCGTGCCGTTGTCCAAGGAAATTTCGAGGTAGCCCCGGGTCTGGCGAACTTGGCTTGCCGCGGTCGACAGATCTAGCAGGGCCAAGGCTATGATCAGTAGACCCCACTGTAAAGTAGAGAAATGGCGCAGGCTTGGCGCCATGGCGAGGGTGAAATGGTCGGACGTCAAAAATCGCCTCTTCGGGGGAGAAGTTCAGAAAGTGGATTTGAGACGCAGCTACAAGCAAGCAAGCTGTGCTGTGGTGTGCTGTGGTGTGCTGTGCTGCACTGGCTGGCTGGCAGGGGTTTATGCACTGTGCAGCATGCCGTCAGCTGCCTGCAAACGTGTCTTGATTGGGCAGAAGAAGCAAGGTTGGAAATCAATGCAGCGTGGGCGGGAAAGCAGGAAAATGCCGACGGCTTGTTTGTGCAGGCACAGTAAGCGCCTGGCGCCAGCGATGTTCGACCAACAAGGCAGCCCGCCTTGACCAAGAAGGACGATCAGCTCCGTTTGTGACACGTCCAGGCCCAGCGGAGCGCGCTACAATACGGCAGCGCCCAGATGATGAGAGTTGCGCGCAAGAACGTCAGCAAACTCGATCCTGCCAAAAAAAAGAAAAGTCCAGCCCACGACAACCCCACGACCACGACCACGACGCCCAGCCAGCAGACGAGCAAGTCAACCCCGTGCCGCGTCCCAAACACGGCCCGCCCCTTTGATCCGTTCGCCCCCCCCGTGCCGTTCATCAGCAGATCTCTCTCTCTCTCTCTCTCTCTCTCTCTCTCTCACACACACACACACTTTCTCTCTCTTCTCTCTCTCTCTCTCTCTCTCTCACCTCTTTGTGGAAGAATATGCCGTCGTCCTCCTGGTTCTCTCTCTGTGACGTTGTGTGGCTAAACAGCTATTCTCTGGATTTGGCTTTCTTTCTTCGTTCTGGCGGGGCCTTTCTCTACTTTATGCCAACTCTTTGACGTTTTCTCTTTCTTTTGTTTTGTTTGTCGATGTGTCTTTTTCTTTCTGTGTGTGTGTGTGTGTGTGTGTGACCTGTTGCGCTTGCCCGCCTCGTTTGGGCGGCGGCCTCGCCCTCTCCTCTCTCTCTCTCTATCTCGTCTCGTCTGCCCTCGTTCCTCGGCCGTCATTGGATTCGCGTGCCATGATCCACACCGCTGGATCAAGAGCCATCATCTTTGGCTTTGGCATTATTGACTATGGGAGAGAGTCAGAGGTGGGGAGGCTGGCGGCGGCGTTCGCTCTGGAGCCCGCGTACCCGGTTTGCCTGATTGACGGCAATACGACCAGCGTGGAGAGCGGGGTTGTATCATCCAAAGCATCCGTTGTCGGGACCAGGGACGGCGGATGGGTGAGATTCATCAACGCCCCAAGCGGCTGTGGGGGATTTTTGTTTGGCAAACCAGTGACCATTATTCTTATGTCCGTTGAAGCGTCGGTCGCCCTTGGTTGCCTTTCTCATCGGGATGAGGTTGAAACTTGGTGCTCACACGTTTGCCGTTAAACCCGCAGGCGACTGGTCGCCTGGCTGGCACTTGATGGATCGCTCGACCCCCGCAGCCCCACAGCCTGGCAGATGCGCAGGGGCGCATATAGGGGGCGGGGGCGGATTTTCCTTCAAAACCTTTGAGCGCGGAGCTATGAGCGCGTGTAATTATAATATAAGTCATGTCCCGCATTTGACGGAAACCACTATCACTCTTCTCTCCGTTTTTTTCTTGCCACACACACACACACACACACACACACACACACACACACACAAAGCGACAAAGCAAAGGATAGGCAATGTACTCCTTCCTATCCCACCCAGCAGCGTCATCAGCGCTGCTTGCTTCGACCGCAAATCAAATGGCATCCGAATCTCATGCATCATCGTCTGTGATCCAGGGGCCCACTCTTCACCATCAACAAGAGCAATGTTGACCAAAAGTCTGCCAAGTCACCGCCGTCGTGACCGCCGCTGCCGCTGCCATTGCGCTGCATTCACTGCCGCTGCGCGCACCCTCAATTCCCACGAAACCCATACCAAACCCATACAATGCACCACAACCTCCCACAAACGTAACACACACGAACTCACGCTCTTCTCATCCTAGTTAATTTTCGAACAGCGCGGTTTACTTCCGAGAAGACGGCTCTCACTACCAAATGTAGTGCTTGGAACAAATCACAGCAGGCGAAACAAGTGAATAGATTTCATCTTGGGGGCAGGGCGGATCGGACTTTTGAGCTCTGCAGCGATGGCGGCGGCGGCGGCGGTGGAGGTGGGCGTGGTGTATCGGGTGGAGCGCGCCTTTACGTCCGGAGCGGACGATGAGATCGATCTCAAGCCGAGCGCCAAGGTTATGTTTGTGGCGGTACGTTCAGTGTGATGGCTCGAACTTCAGCTCCACAGCACCCCCTCCCTCTTGGGGCTCCGCCCATTGACACCTCCTGAACCCGAAGTCGGCGCCTCTGACCATGGCCCTCGTTCCACATGAAAATAGGAAAACACCCTGTCACCATCTTGGTGGCAAGTGTGCACGCCTCGAGGCACGACCGGCTTTGTCCCCCGCTCGCACCTCTCCAATGGTCCCATTGGCAAGGGCAAGGTGCCCGCTCAAGTGACCCGCCTGAACATGCACGGTGAGACCTCATGCGCGCCAGGCCCTTCACACAGACACATCTTGTTGCCTGGGAACTCCGTGCCCCAACGACTTGGCTGGTGATGACACCCACCTCTGACCAACTCAATCCTGCCCGTTTGAATACCATTCGACTCGCAGCTAAACCAGTCGTGGGTGCTGAATCCTGGGAACGCCCCCAGACGCCCCGCCTCAGTCTTGAACCACAGATTAGTCAGGCTTCATGGTATCTCGGTGCTGCCGACAAGCTTCGCGTATGTTTTTCAAGGACTGGTCTTCAAACCCGTTGCTCCTTCATCCCTCGGCCCGCTCACCAACACGCTCATGCCGTCATGCCCTTCCACAGGTAAAAGCGTGCGCCCGCATCATCAAGGACCAAGCCCCCGAAGGCGCCTTTCTCATGCGCATCCCCGACAAGCGCTCAGAAGGTTACGCCATTTCTGTCAAAGTACGGGCAGTATTCAAGTATCCAGAAGCGATGCTCACTCGTATCAGTGTTGCGTCCGCCCCATCTTTCCATCCACCTGCTCACGGGTGCCCCATTCGCTCAGACGAGCCCGCAAAAATTGCAAAACTTTCTCATTACTTGCCGTGACGATGCGTTTGTCCTCGGTGAGCTCTCTGCTCTTTGCTCGGGTATAAAGTGCACAACGCTACTCATGGTCTCATCACTTCACCCGCGCCTCTCCCCCATCAGGTCGCCACGAAGCCAGCACCATGCTTGAGCTCCTTCACATTCTTGCCACCGATGGGACATCCCTTCCCGTGCCCCTCCAACTGGTAAATCTTCTTCCCTACTCCAGGAAAAAAGCCTACCCACACACCTCCTTCTTTCTCTGGTTTTTAGGCGCTGGTCACAATCGCTCATTGTCATCGCAGGAGTACACACTGGATCTCCAGGCCGTTGAAACGATGATGACCAAGCTCCGGGACAGGTACATGCTTGATGGAAGGCAGTCGACATATCCAAAGGTTGCTCAGGTCCACATGTATTCTGACACCCTGCGTTATTCATGTGGCCTCGATGCACCAGGCGTAATTCCATTACTAGTGTGGCTACGGAGGGCAGCGAGGTATGCATGCTGTCATGTACCAGAGGGCCCAGTCTTAGAAAAAGGCCACCCCCGTCTCAAAGAATAACCATGATTCGATGCTCTTGTGTCGTGGGACAGATGGGCTCACGGCGAGGCAGTATGGCGCGTCGTCACAACCGCCAGCGAGCTGGCTTGGACCAGCTCTTCAAAAACACAGAAAGGCGCGATAGTGGCGCCAGCTCGACGCAACCCCTGGAGGTGAGCCTTTTCCACCTGCTTCCAAGAGCAGTTTGGTATCACTGCATGTCATTCCCCCCGGCCTTTTTTATTCGCAAATCTACTTGGTCAGGCTTGGTATTCTCACCGATTATCATTCTGGGACTGAACATGGTGGTTTCGCTGCAGCGCGAGGGTAGCCGGCGGCCTGACGGTGTTCGCTCAAGTCCTTTTGTAACCACTGCCGAAGCCGATGCCCTGGTGAGTCCTACAAGGCAATTTGCGCGGTCGGTAGCTCGCGAAACTCACTGGTTGCACTGTGCTTGGCAGGATCATGCAAAGGCCACCGGCAACATGAGTTTGGCCGCGATTGCAGCGCTCGCCCACAAGGACGGCAGCTATGTGACCCTAGCTGAGCTGCAAGCCATTACGGCCGATACCATGACCGATCACCAGTTGCATTGTCTTTGCGCTGGCCAAAGCGTCTTCTTCGAACGTAAAACCATGCGCGAAATATCCAAAGTCGTCAAAGCCAAGGCTCGCGTACGTCTCTTGCTTGCCAGCCAAACCCGATCCCTCCTCGTCAGTTTTGATGGCTGAACTCGAATTCACTGGCACTGTCGTCTGTCACAGGCTGAGTTGCAGGCACGCCTCGACAAGCGACCCAACATTTCGATCTACGAAGAAGCACGCGCTTGGGCTATGGCTCAGGTGCGACTGCCAGCGACAAATTAGCTCGACTTGAATGTTGTTTTTTTATTCGTGGTTTTTGTTCTATGGCTCAGCTGTGCCACACATCTGACCCTTTGCGATTCAAACTCGTAGGGAGACGTGACGCCACAAGCAGTATCGGCGGGTGAGCAGGATGAGTTTGAACCAGCCAGCGAGCCGCCCACGCGCCCCGGCTCTGCCATGTCATCCGGGCCTGCCGTGGTACATGGAGCTGGTCCGACCGTGGCACCAAGCTTTCTCTCTTCACCTGAGGGATCGCCACCTGCCACTACCATGGCCACTTTTCATATCCCGCCTCCGCCAAGCACGCCGCCCCCACCCAACGACAATGACGTTGCACTCAGCTACGGCACACCATTGGTGGAGGTGGCGCCGGGTCTGGATGCTCCACGGCGCACCAGTTTTTCATGGTCCATGCTCGCGAATAATGCGCCAACTGTCCGCAACACCGACTCGACTAGCCAGGATCACGTCAACCCTTCGGCCATCGAGAGGGAGGAGGACGTTGCGATTCCGCCACCCCCAGCCTTTGACGACCCGTCACAGGACGTTGACATGTACACGGACACCGTAGTTCCTCCTCGATCAGAGCCCCTCTTTTTGGATGCACGGGGCGATTTTGGTGCGTCCTTGCCCTCTGCTCAGCACCTTTGCATTGATTCTTTATACATGCATGAACCAGTGCTCATTGGCGGCCCCGGAACACCACCGTGGGCTGCCCAGCTCTTCCTGACCACCTGCTCATGTCTTGGCCGCTCCCCGAATCGACTCGTGCCGTTCACTCTTAGACGTGTTTGCCATGGCTTATGCGCTGGACAGTTCCCTGCCCACAATGGCTCCAACCCCAAACGACATTGCGGAGCTCTCCACTGTGCGCCGCTCATCGTCGTATCGCCCTACCTCGGCCTCAACCCCGCGCAAGCCCAGCGGGCAGCGGTTCGGCCGTCGACCTTCGTCCATTGCAGACCCAACGGAGCCGGCCGATCACGGACCATCATCCATGCCCGACGTACATGACAATGACTTGGTCCTGGCACCCATGCCTTCTCGAGCATCACTATTAGAGGCAGACTTGGATGCGCGCCGTCGCTCGCAAGCGGGCCTCCGGCAGCGGCTCAAGTCCTCAGACGACTTTGTTGGCCGGGCCCGATGGAACACCTTGTCCGAGCGGGAAGAAGAGGAAACCCGCTCTCATGATGCCAAGGCAGAGGCGTCGCGTACTTTTGAATATGTGCACCTGCTCTGTGCAGATAGTGTCAAGGTCCGGGCGCGCCGTGACCTGCTCCAACACACCAAAGCGACTTCGCCACTGCACACCGCGTCCGTGGACGAGGTCCTGCATGTCGAAAGCGCTGATAGCGCAGCGGTCAAGGCGGTCCTGGACGTCATGGAGCGTCTGGATGCCAACGATCTGCTGCCGACGCCACCGGATGATCAACCGCTGCTTGTGCGTGTGGCCCATGCTTGGCCCTTGCGCCTGTGGCCTTTTTGCTCTGAGCACGGCTTGGCCCTGGTCCAGGATGCCATCATCGACACGGTGGTGGCCGATCTGCATGTTGGTAACGCACTGTACTATTTTGAGCTGGCCTCGCGGCTAGGTCTGACAGAAATTCAAGATGCAGCCCAACGTCTGGTGGAGACTTTTCCGAGCGTGATCTTTACGCAACCCGGCGCCTTTAATGTGTCAGAGCAATGCTTGGCGCGCCTGGTGCAATCTGACTTGCTGGCTCTCAGTGAAGTGGCCGTGTGGCACCTTGTCACGCAGTGGGGTCTTTTTCACGCAGGCATCTCGAGGACAGATTGTCTCAGCCCACAGGTCAACTGGACGACACAGAGCTCGTCAGCCGAGGCACTGGGCCAGGATCAACACATGCGTGCCGTTGCCGTGGAGGGGGCACGTGATTTGCTGGGCCTCTCGGACTCTGCACAAGACCTGCTGCGTCAGTCGTTGGCCGGCATCTTGGGCAAGCTGCGCTTGCTCGTGTTGGAAGAGGCTTTTTGTCACGAGGTAGTCTTTGCATCTAATCTGTTGGGGCCGGAGCTAACCCAAGAGGTGCAGGATCACCACACGGGCCGTGTTGGGCTCCCAGTGGATCACATCTACTTGCGCCCGCGCTTGGGCATGCACCCCTTTGCGCAAAGCGCCATTCTGTCTGAGGAACAAGGACGCATGTTGCACTCCTGGGCGGGGCAGCCGCATTTGAAATGGCGACGTCTGTTTAGCGCGCATGCTGCCAGCGTCAATCCCGAGGACGCTGGTTTTGCTGCAGATGACTTCAACTCGCTGTGTGGGGGTCGTCGCCCCACCTATGTGGTCATTGAGGCTACCAATGGTCTTGTGTTTGGGGGCTATACGCCATGCGCGTGGCATGTACGGGACGAACGCCACTTGCCCTTGGCCTATGCGCCATTGTCGGTACGCAGCCAAGGACATCGCGATGCTGCCTACCATGTGCGGTTACTGAACCAAGCCGGCCTCAATTCCTTCTTGTTTTCATTGGTCAACACTCGGCAAACAGCACCACAACGCGCTTTTGCCATCGACCCCGGTGCCGCTGTGCGGCCTGCCGTCCATACGGGTCCTCACTTTGGCGGGGCTTCTCACCTTCTTCCCGATCTTTGCGTTGGCAATGGCTGCACCGAAACCACTGGGTAGGTGTGACCCCATCCCACTTTTCGCCCTCACAACCTTGGTGTCGATGCTAATGGCGCACGTGTGCCAAGTAGGTCTGTCTGTCACTATCCACAGGCCTATCGTGGCATGGATCTTACGCCGAACGAACTCACAGGTGAGTGAGGAGACCACTTGCGATGTGCTTTTTTTTTTTTTTTTTTTTTTTTTCGTTTCGCATCTATCCTCGCAGGCACTCATCGACACCTTTTTGAATAACGCAGGAGGGACGACTTTCCAGGTCCAGCGACTTGAGGTCTTTGGCCTGGATTCATGTGGCGCTGGAATTAGTGATGTGTAGCATGTTCCCCCCAATTCTAACCTGGTGGACGGACACTTGCTGCGTCGGGCTGCATCTCTCCGCCTCACAACTGGGGTGCTCAAGACTCCCTTTTTTTTATATGACAACTGAGCCTTCCTAAGTGATTTACAACATCATTGAAAGACATCTTACTCTGGCTCTAGCTATATGACCACCTTACCAAGCAGCCTTGTCGGCCACAGAACAACGATATTGGGTGGTGCAGGCACGAATATTGAGTACATTTGTAAAGGTGTTTTTGAGGATCGATTTTGACCTGCCTCTACATCGCAAAGGCATGCCTCTGCAAACGTGGGCCTCCACTAATGACCGGGGGCTGCCACATGCGCAACAAGTGGTAGTGGCCGGGCCTCAAGAATCCTTGTCACGGCCAGTTTGGGGCGATGGGCCGAGAGAGAGAAAAAAAAGACCATGGTTTGGAGGGCAGCATCAACGAGTCCGCAAAAAGGCTGGTCCTGCAAATCTGAACAAACGAGGCTGGCTACCTCCGTGTGTCAACAGCTTCAGGCTGACACACCTCTCGGCCAAAAGCCAGACTCGAGAAGATAATCGTCACAGACAAAACTCAGGGGCGAGGAAGGCGCAGCCACGGCGGGAAAAAAAAGACGGTCGGAATCCTCTCAAAAAAAAAGAAAGAAAGAAGAAAGAACACGAGGGGAGGTGACGACATGGCGGAGCAGCCATGTCCGCAAAAGGAAAAAACTGGAAATGGGATTGACAGGGCGTTTAGAAACCGTGCACCTTGATCTAAAGCAGCAGAGAATCGACACCCAAAGCCGGGCAGCCAACAAGGTCCTGTGAGCTCTATCAAAGGCTGAGCGACTCCCGCAAAAGTAACAAGCCCAGCTTGTCTCATATGATCAAGAGTCACGCTGACAAAAGATCAGGCATGGGCATGTATCGTCCCCCGCCCCCATCTTCTTGCGGGACCTTTGTCGACGACACCACAACGCAGAGGGAGGAGCTCAAGGGGGCACGCACCTGCTCCTTGCGGGCAATGCCGACACCCGAAAGGAACTCAAAGACAGATTTGCGCTGATCACCCTGCAGCTGAATCACCTCTCCATATTCGGGGTGCGTGGACACGTTGCCGTTGCAGGCAAACTCCTTCTTAAAGGCCTTGACCAGACGCTTTTGATCGTACTCGGGCGAAATGCCTTGCACGGTCGTCAGGGTCTTACGACCGCTGCGCTGCTGGATACTGTGGGCAGAGATCACGGTCATGAGCGATTCCACAACTGCACGCCAGGTCTGTATTTGAGCGGTTGCAACAGCAGGCCCGTGCACGAGGGAGAGGCCAAAAAAAAAAAAAAAAGGATCAGGTTAGGTGAGCAACCGACCGGATGTGGATGAAGCCCTGCTGCACACCAGAGGTCTCATCCTCTATCGCGTCTGCCGCAAAGGGGTCTGCAACAAGGGGGCAAGGAGGAGGAAAGATCGAGGTCAGCCTCCAAGGCGTCGTAGGCGCAGCAGCAGAGCACCGGCCACAGAAAGCATTCATCATCTGCTGGCCTCGTCAAACGAAGAAGCAAGTCACACAAAGAGGCAGCGCGGCCCTTCCAAAGCAACCCCGAGATCACCGAGAGTGTCTACCCGTGCTCCCTAATGATGGTCAATCGCCAAAGGTCCCCCACCATCTCCCCGTCCCATCAGCCAACGGCAAAGGCGCTGCCATTCCTAGCCCATCTCTCTCTCTCTCGCACACACACACACACAGACCACGAGGCCTCATCGACGCACACACACACACACACACACACACACACACACACACACACACACAGACGCAAGATGTTCTTTTGTCTTGGGGGATCGCACCATTGCTCTGCAGGTTCTGGATCGACATCTCTGCGTTGAGGCTGTAGTAGGAAATGACAAGTATTTTCGAGTGATTTTTTGGTAGTTTAACTATTCAAATTCCTACACTCTAACTTCCCGCCTCACACTCAAACCCTCACTTTATCTGACAATGATAAGCACAGACTTTCTTTCGCAAAGATCAAGGTAATCGAACGATCCAAACACATGATTCAGCCAGACAGCTAGCCAGCTAGCCAGCCAGCCAGCCAGCCAGGGCGGCCTGGCTCGGCATAAAAGAGAACAAGGCCCTCAGACCTTTGCGGCGTAACACTGATCATCCATCTGTAACGCACGACCCGTTGGCCAGCCAGGTCAAGCCCGGCTCTGACTGGTAAAGGTCTGCAAGTTGCGGCGTGCCATGTAACGCATGGGAATCGGAATCAGCACGGCCCCCGTAATGCCGACAGACACGAACATAATGGTCATGATCCACCCCAAAAGAATGTGGGATGGCACCGAAAGAGATGCCACAATCAGGACGTGACAGAAAAAGGTCAACACCGAGCCTGCCACGTTGGGCGAAGCCGGGTGGATCAGGTCACTGGCCATTTCGAACCAGAGCGGATCGGTGGCCCCACGCGACGCCCCGGCTCCCGCACACAAAATCATCAGTGCAGGCATGGACCAAGAAGCAAACGGCTTCCAGCTGTACGGATCAAAGGCTACGGCAAACATGAAGAAGCAGGCTGCAGCGACAATGGACAAGACGCTCGTGATGCTCTTGAGCTTGTTGAACAGCAGCCGCGTGTCCGTGGCCAGCCCCGCCACCAAGCCACCAACAATTCCTGAAAATGTATTGATGGCCCCAAACACGCCCGCCTAATCACATGCCCGCATGGAGAAAACCAGAGCACCCCAGAATGAGCCCCGTATCATGCCCCGAGAGTTTAGCCGTGATTCAAAGAGCGATTGTCTGCACGCAGTCATACCTCAAAGTTGTTGAAGCGAGATGAGAGTACGCTTGGCAAGACACCAGCCCAAGCCCCATTAACGCCCATTTGCAGGCCTCCAATGATGCATAGTGTCAGCATGGGGGCATTGGTACAGGCCAGCCGAAGCTCGCCGAGTAGTTGCTTGGCGCAGTCCGAAAGCGATTGATGCCCCTCACGTGTGCGATGTTGGCGCTGTGCAAGCAGTGCGGCTCGCGATGGCGGCTCGGCGGGCTCGTTCGGATAGTAGATTGCGGTAGCCAGCAGCGGCAGAAATGCCAACAAGAGCTCCACAGCCAGGAGCAGGGTGACATCATCCGTGTTGCTGACCAGCGCAGGCCCGATCAGAAACCCAATGCCACGGCCGAGAGCACTGCTAATGTTGGCCACGGCTGTGGCCGTGTTGCGCTCCCGATCAGGAAACCACATCAGAGAAAATTGACTGACACTGGCTACCACAAACGGCGCAGCGGCCGCATTGCACGTCTACAACGCTCCCCGCGGCGCAATCAGGTTGAGCCACGGTCAACTTGGTCAGCCTCAAACTTCAACCAAAAGCCAGGCATGCTTCATGGCAACCACCAACCTGGGCAACATGAATCACCGCAAGAACAAGCTGGTGATGCTGGACAAACTGGTGCCGGGTCAAAATGCAGGGCAAGCATCGCAGTAGGCCTCCGGCAAAGCAGAGGCCTGCTGCCAGGAGGACGCTGCGCTGCAGCCCCTTGCGCGTGGTCAGGAGCCAGGAAGCAAAAAACACGACACATACGTACGCAATGGGGCCCTCGTTCAGGAAGAGGGTCAGGACATCATCCGTGACCTGCAGGTACTCCTTGGCGGCCTCCGGTACACTGGAGAAGGTCATCCAGAGCAAGGATTGCAGCGCTGCAATGTAGGCAAACCAAAACAGGGCCCACCACCGCCATGGATCACGCTTGGGCTGTATCAGCGGCTCTTCCAACCCTCCCAAAGGCTCTACCAACATCAGTGGTATGGCAAGCGCGGTCAGCGCTGCACTCGGCAGGCACGAGGGGGAGTAGTGGTCGAACGCACCGTTGATTTGCCGCCGACGCGTCGAGCTGTGTTGCTGTTGCACGCTGGCTTCCCTCAATAGGGGGGTGGCTTGCGGATCCATGTCCCCATGTGAATCTGCCGCCACCACCACCGCCTGCCGACCGACCGACCGACCGACCACCGCCTTTCCTAATCGGCGAGCACGCGTGCCATTGCCGATTCCCTGGCTGGAGGAAGAACGTCGGAAACCGTCAACTTCCGAGCGCACAAATGATGTCCTCGGAAATTTATCGCAAAGTTGAAATACCATGTCCAAAATTGAATTTTGTGCCTGCAGTTGATTATGGTCATCAACACCTGGCTGGCTATGACAAACTGGCAGCGTTTCTATCAATCCTAAAAGATCCTTTCAAGGGTGACAAAGACACGTTCAAGACCACACTTCCAAGCCAGAAGAACATGAGAAGCATCCTGTGGCCATGTCTGCCGTTTGTCTTTCTCGATCTTGTCGCATCAAGCATGATGTTTGTAATATGATGATGATCTAATCTGTCAATTTCAAATCAGCCCGCGTTCGACGCGCTGGCCAACATTCAGTGTCATACAAACACGCAAAACGCTTTCGTGCTGCAACTAAACATGTGACGACTCGTACATAACATGACACCCTGCACACTATATTTTTCCCAAGAATACAATCAATCAGACAGCAAGCAAAGACAATCTTCGTACTCTTGTCGCGCGTGCTCACGGGCGTGAGGTCACGCATCGCGCTCACTGCTCCAGCAGCTGCAAAAGTGAAACAAAGGTCTGGAGGGCTGCGAGCCCTGGCGGCACGGCCTTGTAATGCGGTGCGCTCACATGGATCGAATCAGGCAGGCCCAGTAAGGTTTGGCACACCGCATTGTCGGAGAATATCAACATCTTGGGCAGCGTTCCCCACCATGGCGTCACCTGTAGCACGTTACGACAAGCTTCGAGGTCGTAGCACGGGCACACGAGGATGTCGTCAGGATCGGCATCCTCCCATTCACCCTCTGCCACAGCCACGGCTTGGATGAAGCGCCAGGCCAATGGCACGTTACGCAAGATTTCGTGCAACGTTTCAAACATTTGGGCCTCTGGGATTCCCGTTACTACCATCAGCTGCCGTTCTTGCGCCAAGAGATGCCGGCGCACGTGGAGGTGAAGTGGGTCCGGGAGAAGGGATGCGGGCGCCATGGGCAGATCGTCGGTCAAGAGTGACCATGGATTGCGAAGCAAGTCTGTGTCCAAAGCCAGACGCAGGGCGAGTCGCAGGGAGGGCTCCAGTGCCTCGTGACACATCACCTCGTAGGGCGAAGGCAGGAGGGGCGCACGACGAGCCGATTTGACCCAGTCCAACCAATCGCTGGGGTTGTCTTGCAGACTTTCGCTCAAGCGAGAGAGCTCGTCCAGAGTGATCAGATACTCAATCGCTTCCTCCGAAACACTGGGCACCGTCAGCAGCTCGTCCGGCAAGGCCGCGGAGTGGGTCAACTGCGTTTGAGTGGCGTTGCGCCGTGCTTCAGGCGGTGCCAGCACCGCATTAGCCGTCATCACTAGGACCTGCAAAGAAGGGGACGATGGCAGGCGCACTGCTGCCGGGCTCACATCGTACACGGGTCGGAACGCCAGCAGCTTGAGGTAAATGGCCAGCGCCACCAAACCCATGGTGTGATAGGGAAAGCGATGCCGCAGGTGAGCCAGTGCCTCCCGGCACACCATGAGGTACAAGCGATGATCGCCCGCGCTCAGGTTGCCAAACAAACCCCACGCCGTGGTGGGCTGTGCATCATCATTGCGGATGCGTGCCAGACCTGCAAATTCCATGGCACTTTCGTGTACGCGCTCCAGAAAAGCTGTGAACAAGGGCGGCTCCAGTTGAAAGTGGCGCATGGCGCGGCAGACCATCTCGTAGCAGATGGTTGCCATGCGTGCCAGAGGTCGATATCGGTCCCGGCGCGCATAAATGAGGACTCGGTCCCAGCGCTGCTGCACCAAACTTGTGCGATAGTAGCGCGCCTCGGCGTACAGCGTGTTCACGTGCAGGTGCAGGGCATCATCCGCCACTTGCCGTTCATCCAGGTCCGAAACAAGGCGTAAAAGCTCGGCCACGCGCCGCTGTTGGGCCGCAGCCAGCTGTGCATGCTCTTTGCAGTCGGCTGCAAAAGCAATGCCGATATCAGGCTGCAAAACACTAACCAACTTTTCGAGCAACATTTCTTCCCATAAACGTCCATCACCAAGCGGCACGTAGCGCTCAACGTCCACGTTCATCAGAGCTCGGCGCCCAGCACGGGCTGCCACCGGTAGCGCGAGACGTTGGGCACGCCGAATCTGACAAGGCACGTGAAGGCGATCTTGACTGGGAATGCC